CTCCCCCTCCTCCCTCATCCCTCCGTTTTACTTTCTTATATACAGCTTCTCCATGTTGCACCCCGAGGTCGGTCGAAATGGCGGGCCGGGCGTTTCGCTTGAGACTGCCTGACCACTTCTGACCCTGAAGCTTCGATGCTGGCAACAGCTTCACACATGGAGGGCGGGTTGTTTCCAAAATGTGGCTCTCGCCATAGCGCCGTGTGCATTCGTTTGAACAAAACGTACGCCCACGTGAGCTGACGGGAAATGGAAAGCAGAGACGCAAATAGTGGAACATAGCCGTCAAAGAGAGGAGGGGGAGGAACTTGTGGAGCCATGTTGGAGGCTACGTTTGAGCATCTGAGGCCTTCTTGGGGCCTTCGGGGGGCAACTTGGGGTTCTCTTGAGACTCTTTCGGGGCATCTTGGGGTGCTCTTGGGGCTCTTTGGGAGGTCTTGGGGTCCTCTTGGGGCTCTTTGGGGGCGCCCTGGGGCCCTCTTGGGGCCCTTCTTGGCGCCCTTTTTGGGGCTCTCTTTTGGGGGCCTCTCGGGAGCCCTGGACGGCCCCTGGGGGCTGTCGTGGGGAGTGTCGGCGAAAAGAGGTGGGAGGTCCTAACGTTTGGTCCCCCCTTCTGGGCCATCAAAACAGCATCTTGAGACGCTCTTGGCTCCCTCTCGGGGCGCTCTTGGGCGGTCTTGGGTCTTCTTGGAGGCCTCGTTGACCCCTGTTGGAGCTCTCTTGGGCCATCTTGAGGCCATCTTGAGGCCTCAACAGCGCATCGGATGCGAAAAGGCGACAAGGCCAAACTCATAGATTTTCCGTACTTGTCAAACGATGTTGGTTTCTCGGGGAGGTCTTGAGGGGTCTCCAAAAGCACGTGGATCCGTCTTGTGACCTTCTTGGGACCTCTTGGGGGCATGTTGTTAGTTATTTTGAGCCATGTTGGGCTATCTTGAGCGATCTTGGAGACCATCTTGGGTTCTCTGAGACCCTTTTGGGGCCATCTTGGACCAAAAGGGACCCTCTGACCGCTCGCGGAACCCCTCGTCCAGGTCCAGGGGAGGGGGCAGGGGGAGGGGTCAGGCCACCCACCCGACCGCAAGCCGTCCAGCTCACTCCCACCTGCCTGCCCTTGGAACACATGAGTAACATCCGAATCTGAGCATGTTCAGCGGTCGTCTTTGGATGGACAGCTACTGGGAACCAGAGCCGACCCCAGGTGCGCGACGCTTGGGCGAGGTGCGCCAGGCACGCCTGGTGCGCCAGATGCGCCACGTGCTCCGAGTGCGCCACGTGTGCCGGACACTCCAGCCACGCCAGGTGTGCCACGTTCGGGGCACGTGCAAAGTGCGTCAGGTGTGCCTGCGCACGTGACAGCACCCCCCGCCATCCTTGTCGAAAACTAATGCCCATCATTGTGTCTGTTTGACCTGCGCATTCCAGGCCACGCACCACCAACCCCGCCGTCCCTGTCTAAAACCGCTTGACAGTGATCGCGGGATGGCCGCGCATTGTCCAGATTTAGCCGCGAGGTGCATGTTCGGGATGGCCGCGCACGATCCAGATTTAGCCGCGAGGTGCATGTTGTATGTTTGTTTTGTCTGGGATGCTAGCCTTGCGCGCAGCAGGGAACATGTTGACACCCTCTTCGTCCCTGCCCAAAAAAAGATATAAAGTGCTCGCGGGCCTCACGAACATGATTCCAGACTTAGCCCCGAGGTGTACTTTGTATTTTTTTGACAGGGATGGTGGGGGTGGGGCCGCATCGGGTTGGCCGCGCATGCTCCAAATGTGGAGGCAGAGTGCGGTTTTGCATTGTTGTTTCAAAATGGGTGGCAGGGGGCAGGCCCTTATGGGGTCGGCATGGTTCCGGGTTGGCTGCCGGCCGGGTGGGAGAGGGGGTGTAGATTAATAAGGGAAGAAAGAAGAATGGGAAGAAGGGATTTTTGGAAGAGGGAAGAAAGATCTCGTTAGACTGCTTGTCGCCCAGAGGGCTGGCGGGATTGCAAGAGATTCACGGATTGAAGGCTGGACGTTTTCAATTTGTGATTCACGCCAAAGCGCCGGGCACATTCGTGTCAAACAGTTGCAAGAGCTTCTCAGATTGAGGAAGTGGTTTTCAAAATGAGGTTCTTGCCTTAGGGCTGCGCACATTCGCTCGAACAGATCGCAAGAGCTTCACGGATTGAGGGTGGCTCGTATTCAAATTGCGGTTTTCGTTTTACCGCCGTGCACATTCGTCTCAAACATGTGCAAGCGTTTCACGGATTGATGGCGATACCTTTTCAACACGTGTGTCTCGCCTCAGGGCCGCGTACACTCGTTACCCCATCTGCAAGAGTTTCACGGATTCCACGGGTCAGCGTGCTAGAAATTTTTGCGGTGAATCATTCAACATGGTTAAGACGCAACAGTTACGCTGATTCGCAGTATTGGAATCCCAGGAATGGTGTTATGGCACGGCTCCGGATCGTCAAGACGCAACAGTCATGTTGATTCGTGGCGTTGGAGTCCCGAGATTGGTGTTTTGGCACGCATCAGGGTCTTCAAACGGTTGTCCCCCAACAGCTCCCTCAGTGGAAACGAACCTTCGCACGGGCCTATGAATGAGGGAGGGTTTATCCCAACCGTTGGTCCTCCCTCCTCCGCTCCCTCCTCCTCCTCTCCCTCCACTCAAGCACAGGTGGGCGGGGGCGTGGTACCATCTTTTGGCTCCTTCTCGCTCAGCTAGCCTAGCTTCCCGCCTCCTCGTCGGCGCTTGAGGGACACCAGGGCGTGTGGGCCGTGTTGGGGGTCGGTTGCTCACAACGGCATCGTCCAGCTTCTCCGGGTGACGAAGAGCGAGCTCACGATTTCAAGGCCTTTGCAGCGTCGTCCTCCAAAGTGCCGCATTTCCCTATCACCGCACGGGGGATGTATTTTGGCTCTTGCTGGCGTCGTCATCTGTAGTGCTGCATTCTCCCATCACCGCTCAGGGGGTGTATTTCGGGAGCGTGGTTATGAGAGATTTTCGAAAGGCGCCCGCTGTGCATCTTCCTCGGCTTCCCGCCCGCCCCGGGCCGCGGTATCCCGTCGAGGTGTTCATTTGGGTGCTGCGCCCCATCCTCCCGCTGGTCTCTATGCATATTCTGGCTTGGTGGGTCGGAGGCGAATTCAATTTATTTTTGTTTCAGTGAATGGTCTGGTTGCGAGGCCTTCTGCGGTGGATGCGATCTGATTCTGGAGCCTTTCGTCGCAAGCCTGCGCGTTGGTTCGAGGTTGCCCGATGACCACTGGTTTGTTGGCGCTTTCCAGCATGGTGGGCCGTATCGAGCAGACTCCTATTCGGTTGAGCCGCCAAACCTCTCTCATTGTAACCACCCATGTATACATCCTCGTGGTTGCGCGGTCTTGGGTTGGAGTGAAACTTTCGTTGTTATGGTTTTCCAGGTCCTGGCGTGAGGTACTCGTTCGTGGTATAGGCGTTGGGGCCTTTCCACGTACTTCCCGCTCATGTCATCCAACTTCTGGGTCGTGTCGTACGCCTACCTGTTCGTATTCTTCTTCGGGGAGTTCAGGGGGTGGCACGGTTTGAGTTACGAGTACTTCGCTACGCGAAGGCTGTCATCCCTGTAATCCTCCTCCCCCTCCTCCTCGTCCTCTTCCTCCTCCTGCTCCTCCTCTCCTCCTCCCTTATCCTCCTCCCTCCTCCTGTTCTCGTCATCCCCCTCCTCCCTCCCCCCTCCTCCTCCTCCTCTTCTTCGTCCTCCTCCTCCTCCTCTTCTTCGTCCTCCTCCCCTCCTCCTCCTCATCTCCTCCTCCTCATCCCCCCTCCCTTCCCCCCTTCTCCTCCTCCTCCTCCTCTCTTCCTCCTCCTTCTCCTTTTTCTCCTCCTCCTCCTTTTTCTCCTCCTCCTCTCCTCCTCCTTCTCTTCCTCTTCCTTTTATTTCCTCCTCCTCCTCCTCCTCCTCCTCCCCTCCCCCGCCTCCTCCTCCTCCTCCTCCTCTTTCTTCCTCCTCCTCCTCCGGGGAGGAGGAAGCCAACGAGGAGGACCAGGGGAGGGCCAGCTGAGACAACGGCTTCTGGCCTTCTGTGGGGGGCCCTCGTCGCGACGGCAGGGCGCAGCTCGGGACACGCGTGCGTTTGGACCCTGAACATGGTACTGGAGGGGTCCAAAGACCGTTTTCGCCCTGCTCTGGGAGGAGGAGGAAGAAGAAGAAGAGGATGAGGAGGAGGAGGGGGAGGAGGAGGAAAAGGAGGAGGGAGGGGAGGAGCAGGAGGAGGAGGAGGAGGAGGAGGAGGAGGAGGAGGAGACGGCGGCGAAGGCGGCGAAGGCGGCGACGGCGAACGCAAAGGCGAGGATGCTCTGGGAGGAGGAGGAGGAGGAGGACGACGAGGAGGAGCAGGAGGAGGAGGAGGTTGAGGAGGAAGAAGAGGAGGAGGAGGAGGAGGAGGTGGGAGGAGGAGCAGGAGAAGGATGGAAAAGAAGGGAGGAGGGGACGCCCGACCAGAGGAACGCTAGACGAGGGAGGAGGAGGATGGAGGAGGCGGGAGGCAGGACGAGGAGGCAAATGCGGGAGCAAATAGGAGGAGCAGCAGGGACGCGCATCGTCAAACCGAGTGCTTTTCGTCAGTGTGCCCTCCGCGCGCTGCGCGGTGGTTTTGCTGCCGCTGAAGGGAGCTGCTGCGCTCAGGCTGTTTTTTGGGTCCCCCCCGCTTGCGCCGTGCGCTTGTAGGCCTTCGGGGTTTGGTTGCTTGTTTGCTGCGAGGGTTTTTTTTTGCGGCCGCGAGCGCACTGTAGGAAGGGTAAGCGGCAGGTGCAGGTGCGTGGAGGCAGGGGGACAATACTCTTCGTTGGATTGTTCATGCGGTGAAAGGCCCCCCGGGGCCATGACCGCCCCACCGCGAGCGCCGTCACCCCGAAAAGGCCCCCGAAAGGCACGACGTAGGAGCAGAGGGTCCGAGGGTGACGCGGGAGGAGAGAGGAGGCACGAGGAGGCAGGAGGTGGAAGGCAGGAGCCAAAACACCCTCCGCGCAGGAGCTCGCGCGCCGCGCCGCGCTGCCGGTGGCCGCCGCCCTCGCGGCCTTCCCGGCCGACGCCGCGCTGCGCGCCGCGGCCGGCGAGCTGCGCGACGCGCAGGGCCTTCGCGGCGGCGGCGGCGGCGACGACTCGACGACGAAGGCGAAGATTATTAGTTGGGCGCGCCCCTGAACTCAGAGGAGGAGAAAGGTACCCATACCTCTACCCTCCCCTCGTTTCCTCTACCCTCCTCTCGTTTCCCCTCGTTTTCCCCATACCCTCCCCTCGCCTCGTTTTCCTCCACCGCTGGATTCGCCTCGAAATCCTGGTCAGAACGCACCCCGGGAAAGGCCCGTGGAGTAGCGGTATCGGTACCCTTTGGTTTCCCCATGAACTCGGGGGCCCCCAAGCGGTGTGGTGACCACACCGTGCGGTGATCAAGTTGGGTACGCCCCTGTACAGGAGGAATATTCAAGCAGTGGCGAAGTGTCCTGGCTCGCCTGTAGCCCTACCAAACAATGTTCTAAGAACCGTTATGTGGTCTGCACGACACGTTCTTGGAACACTTCTGGCTGGGGCTGCCCTGTTTGAACACATTGGGCTGATGTTCTAAGAACATTGTTTTCGTTCTTAGAACTTTGTTTGGTTCGAATAACATTTCTCGGTGGGACTATAGGAGTGCCGGGACGGTCGGTCCCTGCTCAATTGATTCAAGATATGTCAGAAAAATTGTTTGGGGACGAGTTTAAAGTATTGTTTTGACCATGTATCACGTTTCTTCTGAAATCCGCCTGCAGGAGGAATATTCAAGAATAGTTCTGAAATTGTCAGGGGGCGATTTTCCAAATGCTTCACTAGTTGAAGAAATTTGTTTGATGATGCGTCCATTTCTTTCAGAATCCGCCTGTAGAAGGACATGCCCGGCCTGTAGGAGGAATATTCGAGAGTTGTCACACAAATAGTTTGGGGACGATTTTAAAGTATTGTTTTGACCATGTATCATGTTTCTTCTAAAATCCGCCCGTAGGAGGAATATCCAATCATAGTTATAAGATAGTCAGGGGGCGATTTTCCAACTCCTTCACTAGTTTATAATAGTTGTTTGATTGCGTGTCGTTGTCTTTCATAATCCGCCTGTAGAAGGACATGCCCGACCTAAGACGAGGACGGCGACGAGGACGAGGACGGCGGCGAGGGCCTCGAGGGCGACGACGCAGACCCACGGCGTCGGAAGCGTTCGGGCGTGCTCGTCGTGTCTCGGCGTTGCTCCGGCCTCGGGGCACCTGCGGCGGTTGCGCCTCGCCGAGAGCGTTGGAGGGGTGCCCGGATCGTTCCGAATGGCCGCCGGAGGCCCGATACATCTTCCCATGGCCGCTGGGAGCGAGGAGGATGAGAGCGACGACGGCGCCGAAGACGACGACGGCGATGACGATGATGACGACGACGATGACGATGACGACGACGACGACGACGACGGCGGCGACGACGACGACGACGGCGACGACGATGATGATGATGATGACGATGATGATGATAATGATGATGATGGTGGTGGTGATGATGCTGATGGTGGTGATGCTGATGGTGGTGGTGGTGATGATGATGATGACGATGACGACGACGATGATGATGATGCTGATGATGATGATGATGACGATGACGATGATGATGACGATGATTCTGATGATGCTGATGATGCTGATGGAGATGATGTTGACGAAGATGACGATGTTGACGATGATGATGATGACGATGATGATGACGATGATGACGATGATGATGATGATGATGATGATGATGATGGTCATGGTCATGGTCATGGTCATGGTGATGATGATGGCAATGGTGATGGTGATGGTGATGATGGTGATTTTAGTGATGATGATTGTGATGGTGACGGTGACGGTGATGATGATGATGATGATGATGATGATGATGATGATGATGATGAGGTTGATGATGATGATGATGATGAGGTTGATGATGATGTTGATGATGACGACGACGACGATGACGATGACGATGACGATGATGATGATGATGATGGTGATGGTGATGGTGATGGTAATGGTGATGATGATGCTGCTGATGATGATGATGATGATGATGCTGATACTGATGCTGATGCTGATGATGATGGTGGTTGTGGTGGTGGTGGTTATGATGATGATGACGACGACCACGACGACGACCACGACCACGACCACGATGACGACGATGACGATGGCGACGACGACGACGACGACGTCGACGACGACGACGACGACGCCTGCGGCCAGGACGGCGACGCCTGCGGCGAGGACGGCGGCAGCGACGGCGAGAAGGGCGACGGCTTGACGGCCAGGGCGAGGACGGCGACAGCGACGGCGAGGGCGGCGAAAACGATGACGACGATGGCGGCGGCGTCGTCGTTCTCCTTCGTTCGAAAAGAGGAGAAAAAAAAAAAAAAAAAAAAAAAAAAAAAAAAAAAAAAAAAAAAAAAAAAAAAACGCCATACACATAAACTGTTGGCGCTCCGCGCGGATTCTTGGATCCGCGCTGGCCTCTTCCCTGCGGCCCCTACGACGCCGCCCCGCCCCTGGCGCGCTCCGCGCGCCAGGGAGGGGGGTCCAGCGCGGATCCAAGAAGTCCGCGCGGAGCCCCAAAAGTTTATGGTTGTGGTATTGGTTCCTCTTCTGTTTGCCTTCGTGCCTCGCTGCTCTTCCCTCATCCCCCTCTGTCCTTCCCAGAAGGGGGCAGGACTGGGAAGAGGGCGTCCGGTTCCTGCACGACAACGTCCACGACGACGACGACGACGATGGCGGCGGCGTCTTCGTTCTCCTTCGTTTCTTTGGCTTTGCCTCCGTTCCTCCCCCTCCCTAATTACCCCCCCCCCCCCTCACTCATTCCCGTTCCCCCGTCGGGTCAGCATGCCAGGATCCTGGGCCCTTCCTCTAGCACTGGATGCCCCCCCTGGCAGATCCTGGCGCTGCCCGGGAAGGACTGCCAAAGTGCAGCCTGGCAGTTCGGTCAGATATGCTTCGGAGGGCAACACAAGACGGCACGAGCATTTCGCGTTTCGTCTGCTCGGCATTGTCCGGATTCTCGGGTCGTGGACCCTTTTGCTTGTGAGTTGATCATCCTGGCGTGCTTGGCTTTTCGCCAGCTCGCTGCACTTGCGCACGCTCGTGTGACGGCTCGTCTGCCTGTGGTCGTGCGCTGGGCAGACGTTGTCGCGCGACGTCGGCCCCAGTCGGCCCACGCCACCCGCCGCAAACGTAGGGCGACGAGATCTATGCATATCCACTGCTCCTGGCCAGGCCCATCCTGGGCCCAGGAGCTGTGTATATGCCTCCCTGGCCAGGCCAGGAGGGCGTATACACCGCTCCTGGGCCCAGGATTGGCCTGGCCAGGAGCAGTGGATATGCATAGATCTCGTCGCCCTAAAACGCCAGACCCCCCAGCCCATGGGAGCGCGAACCGGCTGATGCCGACACCACCGTGGTGCTGCCTCCGGATGCGCCTCCTGGGGCGCTCCGCGCCCCAGGGTTCCGTCGGGCTTGTCCCTCTACAGGAGGCAGATTCAAAAATAGTCCAAGTGTAGTCTGGGGACGCTTGTATCTACCGTGTTTGACTATTTGGGATTTTTTTGTTATGGTATGTTTTATTTTTCTCCCAAAATCCGCCAGTAGGAGGATATGCCCGACCTAACCCCAGGGTTGAGGTGTTTGGACCGCCTGGGATTGCTCGGAAGGCCGGCTGAGGCCAGCCAGGACTACTTGTGGGGGGCCCGTCTCTGCGCAACCCGAAGCCTTCTCGTCTTTGCGGAGCTTCGACAGTTTCTTGTATATGCCGTCACGTGTTCCTTCAAATGGTGCCTCGGCCGTTTTTGTTTGTTTACGTCGTGTCTTCTTCCTCCGAGAGTCCTCTTCCTCCTGGCGGTTCCTGACATCAAGTCGGGCGTGCTTCTCTACAGGAGAAATATTCAAAACAGTTCTAAACATAGTCTGGTGACCCCTTCCTTCTCGTTCTCTCCCTCATCCCTCTGCTCATCTAGTCCTCCCTCCACCTCCTCCTCCACCTGCAGTCGCCAGAGGAGGACCGACGCCGTCCTCTTCCTCCTCCTCGTCCTCCTCGTCGTCCTCTCCTCCCCCTCCTCATCCTCTTCCTCCTCATCATTATCCTTCTCATCCTTCTCGTCCTGCCCCCTCTCCTCCTCGTCCTCCTCCACAATTACACAATATGAATACTACTCTCCTCTCTCCCCTGATGACGGTTTTTTACACAGGATTCCAAGGAGTTGGGTTTTCGCTTGGGTTCTGGAGCCTTGAGACGGGGGTCAATGTAAACGGAGGTCAGCCAGAGCTCCCGATTTTGCAGGATCTTGCACGAACAGGGTTGCATTGACCTGGGTTTGGGTGCAGGATCCTGCAGGATCTTGCGGGATCATTCGCGTTGACCCGGGTTTGGGTGCAGGATTTTGCAGGATTTGCAGGATTTTGCAAGGCCTGACTGACTCGGGTCTGTATCGACCCGGGTCAGCAGATCACCGATGGTTTTCTGTTGAACATGCTGTTCCCGCTTGAGCGTTGGCCTCATTTTCGGGCTTCGCTCGTTCCGAATCGTGTTCCCGCTGCAGCGTTGGCCTCATTTCCGGGCTTCCGCTCGTTCCGAATCGTGCTCCCGCTGCAGCGTTGGCCTCATTTCCGCGCTTCCGCTCGTTCTGAATCGTGCTCCCGCTGCAGCGTTGGCGTCATTATTTCCAGTGCCATGCCACGGCATGCAATGCAGTGCCATGTGCTGTTCCGCTGTGCGATGCCATGCCTTCAGCTGCAATGCTAGGATTCGCAGTGCTTGACTACGCAGTGCCACGCCATGCTATGACATGCTACGCTTTGATGTTCAACTCCATGCTATGCCATGTTATGTTATGTGCCGCTGTGCGATGCCACTATTTGCGTTGTAATGCTTTGTGATGCAATTATTCACTACGCCACGCCACGCCATGCTTTGCCATACTACGCTCTGCCGTGCTCGTATACGCCCTGTTATGCCGTGCTCTACTATGCATCGCGCACCTTCTCGGAATCAGTGCCCTGCTCGACATCCGATTGTGCGAATAGAGGGGGGGATCT